GAAAATAGAATTAACATGTTGAGTAAGCTTTATTCCTCTTTAATTTGTTATTGCTGTCATTAAGAGTCTTTTATTTTACTTTGGTTAATTGTTAGAGGAACAGCAATAGAAATGTTATAAATCCAGAAATCGATTGTTTCATGGTAGAGGTTTTCCATGGGATGAGTGAGGCATTTTCATTTACCATGGAGAAGTTCAGAGAGCATTGGAACCTGGAGGCATCAGTAATTCAAAGAAACCCAGTAACACCATTGCCATTCAGAATGGGATAGAAATGAAGTTTGTTTCTGTTTTCATATATGGGAATTAGCAAAGCAGATAAAAATTCTGAGCCAATTTGTGGGTGCCAGGAAACAGACATTTATACATTACATTCAGGTGCTGAAAAAAAATGAGCTTTTTAAATATCCTATTAATAATTCCTGTGTGCATGGTACCTCACCAGCAGGAAGGCCTCTCCTTTTGTCTTTGCTGCTCAACAATACCATTAAATTGGTATTTACCAATACCACTTTTCCCTGTGAAGTTATTTATTGACCTGTGATTTTAATATAAGGTAAAAAATTATATCAAACAGTATGTATTTAAACTTTTACTAAGCTGGGGAAACTGAACTATCTTCAGGTTTCTGTCAAGTTATATAAAAGCAATTCAAACTGGATGTTTTCTACATCTATTTAATCATTTAATCATCTATTTAAGTCCTTCTGCAAATTTGTCTGCAGTGCTCATAACATTAAAAGCCAGATTTTCCCTCCAATTTCCCTTTCCACGTAATAAGGTATTTGTCTTTTAATTAGATGTCACTACTTCACCAGCTTTAACATCTGTCTATGTCTGGATAAACAAAATAATGTAAAATGTCTTTGCCATTCCATTCAAAGTTTGTGTCTTCAGATATATGCCCATGACCTTCTTTTTGGTTGCCTTTGAACACTCATAAATGCTGTCACTATGCAGTTAATCCATGTAGTAAAAACAATAGCAAAATGTACCTCTAAACCTGGTTTCTAAAAATAAAATCATCACTTTAGTCTTCACACAAACCTTTACTTTCAACCCTTGATTTTCCAACTCCCCCTCCTACCTCTTCCAGCCACAGCTAGGCTGTGTCACTCCACAAACCTCAGGGAAGACACACTTTGCAATTTTTCCTTCAGAAACCAGGGACAGAAAATGCTAAGAGTCATTACTGCTGGGAACGTCAGGCACTGTTAAACAGCGAGCAGAGAAACATCCTTGAAATAAAACTCTTCAAACTTAGCTAGCAGCCTACATTTTTAGTTAAAAGCTGTATCTCCCAAACCAGCTCTGTGGAGCTTTATTTAAAATTGAGGCTTTGCTTTATTCTGGATCACAGAAGCTGGATCTGTCTCATTACAGCACACCCCACAGGACAGAATTTAGAAGGTCAAACTGAAGTGTACACACAAAAATCTGATTAAGAGACCCCAGTATGGTGCTCACTGAAGAGTAATTAACCAATGACCAGAAGCTTCCAAGTTTGTCAGTCTTGTTTAGCTGATCTCTGATGGGTAGAAGCAGAAAGACAATTTTACAGCTTAGTGAAACATCTAAAAGCATTGCAGAAGACAAGATTTTACAAAACCAAAACCCAACATATCATTAGCTTCTAAATAAGAAGTAGAGCTGTGAGCATCCATACCATTTTCAGGTGAGTTATTTATCTTTAAGTACAAAGACTATGTGCACAGATTTGCAAGTAGAAGACAGGCCAACCTCCAGGTTTTATCTGAATTTTAAAAGAACTTTTATGAATCACTGGCCTGTTGCCCTGAAAATTAAACCTTCTGATCTTGTTTTCATAGTTTTAGTTACTTTCCCAGGAAAGTAACTATAAACATAAGTGTTTACACATTCCTTCCAAAGAAATGTCTTTGATGGATGTTTCACAAAACCAGTGTGATTGGGAAGGTGGTAACTTAGTTATCCAATCCCTGGTCATTGTCAAGAATCTATAAATACTGGAGTCAGAAAATGAAGTTACTTCCTTTCTTGCCATACCACTGAGATGTGTCCATGTGAATCATTCTGTGTCCTTTAGCGACACTGGCCAATCTTAACTCCTCTGACTTCGGGCTAAGTATAATGCAAATTGCTTCAGCATGAATAGAGATTGATAACTGCTGGTTAAGAACACTCCTAGAGAAAAAGATTAACTATGGGATTGAACACTAAAAACTTCTGTCCACACAAAGTTCTTCAGAAGTGCTGGACTTCATTATTAAGCAGGGCAAAAACATACTTTCCAAAAGAAACCAAAAAAAACCCCAACCTCCCAAAAAACACTCCCATATACAAACTCACATGACACTGCTAATACCTACTGCACAGGTTCCCTGGTTTTGCAAATTAAGACACTTCCCCATTAAATTTCTAGTTGCCACCTTTAATTTGGGTCAGGGAAATTTTATCCTCTTGGGAAACAAGACATGCCTTTACTCCCATGTATTCATTTGCCCTTTGTTGGGTGCAAGTTTCACAAAATGAATTTATAAAGTGAATTAAGGGTCCTAAATTTTCTGATGTTGAAGAAAAGGCTTTGTTTATGCATGAAATTACACATTAAGGATGGTATCACAATTCCATCTTGTATTTCTTCATGCATCTGACAACTGACCTGAAATTACCAATCATATTTCTTTTTTCTTTATATCCTCCTAGATATGCATCATAGAACAAATCAGATTTTTTAATGTGCTTTTGCAGTTTTCCATTAGCAACAATTTATTCATACATTTCAAGGCCTGTGACAACCCTTTGTCTGTATCTGTCTTACTACATCTGCATCACCTTTCTGTTATGCCTGCAAATCAAGCACACTCTAAGCAGCACTGGTTGCTGAAGCAAAGATTAGATTTATACAGGGGTTGTAGCATCTCCTAAGAATCAGCTGCACATTCAACATTTCAGATGAAAGGATCAGGGAGAAGAGGAGTAGCCTAGGACGGGACAAGTTTGGTCATCAGAAATAAGAGAATGCTGTCAGGGCACATTAGAAGTTCAAACAAAATGAAAACCAACAGAACACCCCAGAACAGGAAAACCCAAAGGCCAGATACAAGAGATGCTCTGGAAAGGAGCCAGCAGCAAACAGCTCTGTGGATCATGTCAGACGAGCATCATGAGGTGAAGAATGAGCAGTGGAGAGCAGCAGTCACCAGTGGGATTTGCTTCTGCATCAAAAACTGCATCTGTCCACAGCAGCACCAAGGAAGGAAAGGGAGGAACAGTAGAAAACAGACCTCTAAGAGAGGCCTTATTTGAATTTCAAAGTTACAGAGATTTAACCCATATGATAAATAATTTTGATACTGCTTAGTCAGAGAAAAAAAAAATATTTTGTCACATAAGATGTTAAAGAAAGAAATCTTGTGAGGTAAATTTAGATGAGCTGCTATAACAGACAAATTATGTCAGATGATAAGTGAAATTCAGGCTCTCTACAACTTACTTTTTTCTTTCTGTTCTCAATACATGAGCACACACTGAAGTAATAATTTTAGGTCTGAAATTGTGACTATCCCAATTGTTAAAAAATATTTTAAAATGTGATACACCAATGGCTGATGAACAAGTTGTTACTACCACCTGGAGAAAGAAATGTTTCCATGAACTGTGCAGCATACCAGCCATTTCCACACAGTTTTGTTTATTTATTTATTTATTTTGAATTCAGCTACAGATCATTTGCATCTTTGGCCACACTGACCATATGCCGTAGAATAAAGGATCACATTTGTATGAAGGATTACTATCTCTCACTGAACAAATTCAAAGATACTTCTGCTCCAAATACTTTCCACTTTTCTGCCTCAGATTCAATCATTAGAATCCCTTTAATTGAGTATTTATTGATCCCGTTTCCTACAATATTTAATTCTTAGTTACAATTAAGAAATGCAAATAACTGATTGTGCTGTCAGATGAATCCCATATTACTCAACAGCTAGACTGAAAAAAGCCCCCTATAATTGATGGGTTATTTCCACAGGAGGCTGTGAGAGTCATCATTAGATCAATGTCCACTTTTGTATTTGAAGTTCTTTGAAAATCCAGTGCCTTTATTAAATGACCCTCCTCAGGCTTTACATTCATGAAAGTCATTTCAAAACATCTTCCTTCTGGCTAGATGATACCAAATCCTCTGTTCTTGGCAGAGTTGGTTTTTGGGGGGTTTATTTGTTTATTTATTTCAAAATAGCATTTACACATTTTCAAGCTTCTTTTAATTTTTAGCCCTGCAACTCATGGCTACACAAACTCTCTACTGGGCTTTGTACTGCTTTCCCTTTGGATTCTTTTTCTTCTCTTCTTGCCTTCTTTGGTTTATACAAACACAGAATATGCAGAAATATAAAAAAATTCAAATTGGAAAGGCCCTGAACAAAATGGATATATGTCACCAAGCCAGACAAGTGTTATCAGCTCACTGAGACTCACACATGTTTATCACTGTAGAGCATTCCCACTTCTCAGATACTACTGGGAAATAAAACTTTTATCTTTGATTTTTTCTGTGTGTTCAACTGTCTCATTTTTTATGAAGATTTTTATAGTAAAGCCTGTCCTAAAATAGATAGAATTTAAGGGCTGTGTGCAGTCTCACTTGCTTAAACTGAGGGATCTAAAATCAGTACCTAAGCATTTTTGTTATGTGAGCTGAGCTCCTGAACATCCATGTTAATCAGGACATTTAAGGAGCCTAAAGGGAATTAAAATGAATACCTATATGTACACCCCCCTACCCTTGAACAGTAAACCTTTGAGTGTCCAGTGTTTCTGGAAGAAGCCAAACCAAATCCACACTTCCAGCAACTGCTTTTTGTTTGCTGGTTTTCCTAAAGTTGCTAAGATACACACTTCCATCCACTGATGCCCCAACAGGTTAGTAGAGAAAAAAATGTAGGCACAAATAAATGAGCCATCACAGGATAGACAGAATATCCAATTACACAGAACACAAGGAAAGCAGCAACTGCATTATATATCACGCTGGGTTCATTTATTTAGACAAATGTAACTAAAATGTGTACAACTTTTCAACTGCAGAAGTGTAATAAAAATACCAACTTTGTTGCAGCAATCCTGCAGTTGGAATTCCCAACTTATTCCCACTGGGATTTTCCAGCTACTGCTGAAGTGCACAGACACATGATTTAGCTGCTTCTTTCATAAAGAAAATACTATACAAGCATTTTGCCAGTGGAAGAATAAAACATTATTGAGAGATCATATTTTTTGTACCTTACAGCAAGACCTTAGGCTCATTTTTTCTCTCACCTAGCAGCCTCAGGTAACCCAAACCATCCTTCTTGCTTTCCTCACACCATGTAAAGCAGCAGAATCAGATTTTGTTGTATATCTCAGTTGTAGGTAACTTTTCCATATTCTTGTGTGCACACACACAGAAACCCAAGAGTTTACCATTTTTGCATATTTCAGAACAGTTATCAGCAGTCAGATGCAGCATTTTAATGGAACCCCTCCCAGACATGCACAGAGTTTCACTGAAGGCTGTAGGTCTGCTGTGCGTCCTTCACTGAGAGGGTGATGAAGAGGGATCGTGGATCCTTTCTATTTTTGCGGACTGTGATCTTTCCTCTCAGGGCCTCTCCTGAAAAAATAAGAGAATTGCGCTGGTTACAGTATTGAATCACCCACAGTAACAGCAAAGATGCATTGCATCCACGTTGCACGAGAAGATGTTCCAAATTAATCAGAATTTTAAAAGTCTACAGAAGTTTAAGTTTTTGAAGCTTTTGACAACAAATCAAACAAAACTTTGAAACAAAAGTCTAACTGCAGTTAAACCTGGAGAGGTGCTGAGTTGTGGCTAATGCTTCACTCAAATTACTGATATACCAAAAATTGCACTTGTGGCTGGAAAACCACTGTATCCCTTGGATATATTCACCATTTTGAACTAGAACCATGTAACCACAAAAGCCTATTCCCTTCCTGCTGTATGGGCCATGTGCTCTGTATTTGCACTGCATTTCATTTAAGTTCTGACCATTTATTTTTTTTTAATCTGGTAGGAAACTAGAACAGAAATCCTTGCGGCATTTCAAGTATATGCATTATTAATTGCAGGTTTTGTTTTACAAAGTGTCAGTGTCATAACAGTTGACAGTTGATAGTTATGTCCTTCAGTTATACCCAGAGCAAATGTTTTTACACAGAAGGGAAAAACGTAATCTCAATTTCGTTTCAGTCCTTATTAAGACCTTTCATTTAAGGAATTATTTGTAAATTTGTAAATTAGGAAAATACAACCCACAAAATACACACACACACACATTTGTAAATGTGTGCATTTAGGAAATCCACTGCTGAGCCACCTCAGCATTAAAATTCCACCAATATTAAACCCAAAAGAGCTACATCCTCACAGACGATTGTGCTGAACACATTACATCAGGCTGTGATCCCAATCTACAGCAGGAAGTTCCCTTCTACTCTTCCATCAGGCCTCCCCTGCCCCATTCATCTTCATCACTCACACCAGCCACGTCCTCTGCTGATACTTTTCTATCTCACTGGATCCGAAGTATTTTCCAGCTGTTCATTACTCACTATGATTTTAAAAGCCATTGTTAATATCCTGTTAAAAAGCTTTCTGACTGCAAAAATGAAAACAAATAGCAATTTCAAAATTAATGTGGTTCCAAATTCAGAAAGAATTTTGGAGGTCTCCATTTGGCACAATTCTCAGTTGCATGCACCAACAGTAAATTGACAGAAAGTCCAAATTATAAATGCAGGGCGTTTTGCTAAAGGTTGCAGTACAAATACCAAAAAAGGCTTATCAGCAAGAATGACTATAGTACCAAGGATCAGAAGAAAAAAAAATTTTTCCATCATGTAGCAGTTAGCTGCAGATTCCACTACAACTCCTGTGCAGCTTTGTTATTAGGAAACAAAAGACTGACATAACAACAATGCAATATGCAGAGAATTGTGAAAACAGTTTCACAGATTATTTAAACAGAGACAAGTTTGCCAGACAGAAGGACAGAAGGAAGATAAAGAAAAAAGTGCATTATAGTCTCAGTCCAGCTAGGAAATTTAACCTGACTGGAACATACAGATTTTCAAAACTGCTACAGAATGACCTATTTGACTTATTTTAACATCTTGTGATAACAGTTCAGTAAGACTAAAGAACCTCTGAGAATTAAATTATTATAAAATAAATTATTTATATATAAATAGAATAAATTATAAATTAATTATTTCAATTAATCCATACTTCAATCTTCCCATTTAAAACATTAATACAAAACAATAAAACAAATGAGGCAAAAACTTAAATATAATTTCTTAAATAGCTGACTTCATAGAACAGAACCCTCAGATTCTGTTTGTAAAGACAGTTAGTAAAACAAAGCATTCCATTAATTTTTTTCCTAGCTATTCCTTATGCTGTAACCACATTAAATGTGCTTTTCTGAGCAGCCTTTTCCGAGGGCTGAAGCAAACAACAGCAGTAACCGAAAGGCAGTTCTGAACAATTAATCAATGTCATGTAGATAGAAAATGACGGATGTTTTCCCCTATTCTCTGTCCTAGGAGCTGCCTGGAGGAAGCCGTCTCTGGGACTCAGCTGTATCACCTTGCTCTTATCATGCTCAGCTGAATGCAAGTAAACCACACAGTGCCACTGCAGTTTGATTAGGACAAAACAGAATCCATTACCATCCCCTCTCCACACTTTTATTATCCCCTTGGGAGGCTTGAAATTTTCCCCCAAATGGAAAAAGCAGAAGAATTCAGGAGAAGTGCTGTGTAAGCTTGGCTAGTACAGGAAAAAAGGCATCCCTATGTCCATACTGACTCCCTGTCACATAATGCATGTCTGACTGCAGGCTCTGCAGTACCTGTGCTCTGTACATTTGAACCAGTTTATTTTGGTTTTGATTTTTACCACCAGTAAAACTGTAAACAATTGCATCTGTCACTTATGTCTGTGCAAGACAATCATACATGGGGCCAGTCTGCAGTCTGCGAGCCAAGGTATCTCTCAGTGCAGAGATTCTCTATCATCAAGAGTGTTCAGGTCCAACAAATCACTATTTTTCAGTCTATAAAGGATTTGATCAGAACCAAAGATTCTACACATTGCATACATATCCATAACACCTACTTAAAGCTTGGCATGACCCATGGCAATGAGCTTGTAATGTGAGGAACTACCCTGCCTTTCAATACAACTTGGTGTCTCCTCCCTCTTTGATCCCAAAAAAGACTCTAAGAGTTACCAAAGGCAGTCAGCAGTCAATGTATCTCAGGTTTCTTTCTTTTCTTCCCCTGGAAGAGTTTTATGAAGCTAACAATGGGACAAGTAAGAACACAGTACTCAAACCATTATTTATTCTGAACACCATTAAAATTTAAGAATCTTATGAAAGAGCTCACTGGAATTGTTTCAGAGAGCTGCTAGAAAACTGCAGTGGGCTTTGGGATAAACACACTTAACCAAACTGCTGGTGAAAAGTACCTTTACAAATCCTTTGCACTGTAGAGAACCACTGAATGTGTTAGTGCCTTCCCAGTCACAAACCAGCATGATTTGATACCGCTCTGTATAAGGTTGTCTTTGCTGGAAGCTGGCAATTTAAACACAATCTAGTTTAAATAACTGGACCCACTATCTAATGCAACACTGAGTTCTAGCATGCAACAGAAAAAAGAGCAAGTCTCCAAAGCACTACTCTGGGTAGAAAGCAGTTTCCATATATCACCCATCTTCTGACAATGGAAAATAAGACTGAAACAGTTTGTGGTGGGACCAAGAGCATCTCCCTTAAATTCAGGAACTTATCCTTAATCTTCCCATTAATCCTCTTAAACTGCAGACACCTGCAGCTGTGCACAGAATGCCATCTTCCCCTCTTGACCACTTCTCCTACTCAATCTCCAGCCCAGTGTGATCTAACAGTTTCTGTTCTAAGCAGCAGGCACTGCCTTTTGGTATCATCCATCTGACCTGTGATACTCTTCTGGGCTGCCTACTTTTATAAATTGTTTGGCAACTCCTTTCTCTTGCATCACTGTTCACCCTCTGCTGAAACTATCCTGAGGTTCTGTCTTTTCCATGCATGCTCTGAGGAGTTTTTGTACCAAATTGACAGTTTCAACTGCTGAAGACAACCCAGGAGTGAGGCTGCTGCAAAAAAGTCTGCACTGCCAGCTGATCAAGGCAAGACAAGCTTCTGTGGCTGCCTAAGGTAACATGTATGTGCACAAATGACAGAGATTCCCAGATAGCTCAGGCACCACAAAGAGTTGCCACAGGGAATGATGAAGGCCAGACCCTCCACAATGGAGAGCTGCAGTGGCCAAACTCACTCACCTAGAACTGGCTTAATCCACCACTTTTTGTAGTAGAGATTCTAAATAGTATAGATTTGTCCCAAGCTTTCTCTCAGCAGTGTGACAACATTCTGAGAAAACAGAATTGTTGCTGTTTGAACGATATTCCCTTGCAGCTGCAGAACTTGCAAAGGGAGGCACCCAGAATGGCACATCTGTGTCATCAGTCCATCCAAGTTTTCCTGCCTAAATATGGAATTTCTATTATCTTTCAGTGAGACAGAACAGCCATGAGAAGAGAGTCTTTATTTAATTTAGTGGCATGAAACACACATCTAAAAATGTTTCTGAAAAGTCAGAAGGATCATTTTAAAATGGAGATTTTGATAAATAAAACATAAGACTTGCCAGACTTAGTGTGACCTCAAAATTCAGGTCTTAACTTTTACTAAATTTTAAAAGCCAGCATAATTTTTGGAGGTGCCACTTGTAAATAGGCAAGAGACAAATTTCTATAGACACCATGTTGCAGCTGTAGACAGGCAAAACAGACACCAAGATCTTAATTAGGAACCAAATTATCCAACTGGGACGCACAATATTGAAGTATTTCAGTATAGGATGAAAACATTTACACAGATTAATCGTGCCAGTGTTGTTTTCCTACTTTTAATAGTGCTAAGTAGACAAATCAACATTCTTTCAGTTTGTAAATTTACAAACAGCTTTTCAGTTACAGAGACTGGGGAGCTAAAGATAATCAAGGATTTTACAGGAGCTTAGTCATGTGACTTCTGCTCCAGCTTTGCTGTGCTAGCCCCTTTAACACCATAGAAAAACAAATCAAGGTTTTATTTTCACTGGAAGGCAATATCAAGAGCACACAATGCTGACAATAGGCTGTTTTATTGCTAATAGAATTTGCCTGCATACAGAGCTGGGTTTTAACTTAATGCATTGTTAGTGAAAAGATTCTGTGGGCCCTTTAAAATAATTTTTGTAAGCATTTGATTTATTTAGTGAATTCTTGAGACAACCAAATGAGAATTTTTGTTTGCTTAGCAGGAATATTTCAACAAACAACAAAAGGAGGGGACTCATTTTTGGACCATTAGGGAGAAAACAATACTGTTTTGGCATCTCAATTTCAATCTTCAAAATAAAGACATTTCAAGCTATTAAAAGGGCTCTAAGAGAGTGTTTGTACTCTGTAGGGAGCCTAAAATACATCACTGTTTTGTCTGAGGAAACCCAGGATATATTGCTTCTTTCTCCAGTTTCTTTAATTTTAATTGCTTACTAAACAGTTGAAGCATATCCAACATGCTGATGCTATTTTGCTTTACTTGACAGAAAATCAGTTTCAAGTCTCTTGTCACAGTCCATGAGGAAAAATCTGACTTTTCAGAACACATGAGTACTAAGAGGCTATCCCCCACTCACACATTAAATCTAAATGAAATGAACAGAAATTAGCCATTAAATATGCCCATTTACATATATCCATCATATATAAAGCTATCTACCATAGGTATCAAGCTGAAACTCAGTGGCAAATAATCAGTATTAATAAGGTGCAAATTTTATTGCCACACTGTCCAGACCTTCAGACCCAGTATTAAACTCTCCCATTTCATCCCAGAAATGTACAAACATGGAGTACAGGCTGCAGCAGGACCAGCAAAGGAGACAGGATGAGCTCCAAGACCCATCCTTTAGCTTACAACTTCTTGATTCTGCTATCATTAGAATAGATCAAAACATTCAGTCCTTTTTATGGATGAGAAAATTGATCTATTTTTACAACAAATACCCTGGCACCAAACAGCTGAGAAAATTAGCTAGTCCACACTGCAGAACAAAACAATTTTGCTGTGGCAATAAAGGAGCATTTTCCAGTTAAATACCCAGCAGGTTTGGGTATCTATAAGCTCAATCTCTTTTACAGAGCAAAACCAAATACAGTCAGTGCTTTATAACCACTCCAGGCATGGCCCCAAAAGCTATAAAGCATCTGATAAGGCACTTTTAGTCAGCCTCACTATTTTACTCAGAACTAAAAATCTGAAGGAACTATTTTTCTTCACTGGGGAAAAACAGCCACTGCCCTTTCTGAAAGATTCTTTCAAAACAAGAAAACATTACAAATGTGTCTTCCTCTAGCAAATTCTTCTTTCACAACCTATTAAAAAGATACAAGCAAATGCCATCAAAGTAACACTGGTCAGATTGTTGTAAGACTCAAATTACATTATTTCTGTTTATTTCCCAATATTTATTGGAAAAAAAGAAAAGTTTATCTTAAGCAATGGCATTCTGGCTTGGATCTGTAGTAGTGTGGCCAGAGGACCAAGGCAGTGACCATCCCCCTGTTTTGGGCACTGGTGAGGCCCTACTTTGAATCCTGGGGTCAGTTTTGGGCCCCGCACTGTAAGAAAGACTTTGAGGTGCTGGAGTGTGTTCAGAGAAGGGAATTGAGATGGATGGATTGGACTGGCAGGCTCTGGAGCACGAGGTCTGAGAGAGCTGGGGGGCTCAACCTGAAGAAAAGAAGGCTCAGGGGTCTCTAGAGCCTCCTGGCTTTCTACAACTCCTTGGAAGGAGCTTGTAGCCAGACGGGAGTTTGTCTTCCGCCAGGTAATGAGCAACAGGACAAGAAGAAATGGCCTCAAGTTGCACCAGGGGAGGTTTAGACATTAGAAAAAATCTCTTCATGGAAAGGGTTGAAAAATACTGTAAGAGGGTGTCTAGGGAACTTTAGTTGTGTCACCCAGTGACATGGTTTAGTGGTGCCCTTGGAAGTGCTGGGTTAATGGCTTGACTCAATGATCCTAAAGGCCTTTTCCAACCTTAATCATTCTATGAATATATTTAGTCAGAAGTGCATCTTCTTTGCTGTTTCTCCCACTGCCATAATGTATTTCTGAATCTAAGCATTTATACAGAGGACTGATGAATACTGGTACAAAGGGATGGATGTAACGGCTTCAAATGATGCCAATGCGTTGAATCTAATACACTTATTTTTGCCTCCAGTTACTTTGCATTGAGGAAAGCCCTCTTGAAGACAAGGTTTCCCTACAAGCTCAGTGCATTTGGAATGGAGCTCAGTTCAACATGCCAGGCTGAATGAGAAGTGTTGCTAACTCACTGACAAGTGGGACAAGAGAAACAGCTGGAAGTGCAAGTTGAAATAGACTAAAAAATGAGTTTAAACAGTTGGTTTAGTTGAGAAAATCAAAAGACTGAAGAACCAAAAAAATTTGGCTAACCACAAATCATCAAGATGAATATTCAAGTCACTAGACAAAGGAAAGAATATAAATAAGGAAGATAGGGAAATCCGTACTTACAACAACATGTCATGAGGAAAAGGATTTTTGGAACAATGAAGGAGAAGGATCAGTCAGAAGAAATGCTTTTTCCAGAAAAATTACATAAATTAACACACATTCCTACATAAGTATCAGGAAGCACCTTCTGCTTGATGGTTTTATGTCATCAATAAGCAACAGATATCCCACAAAAATTAAGACTGGGATTAAAAAATAAATGGAAATTATATCACAAGTTTCTCTCAGAATCTTCTCTAACACTAGAAGCAAAAGCAGAAAATCCTAGATTTATGTGGTAATTTCATGTAAGATATAAAACCAGACAAGAATGGGCAAAAGGATGGGAAAGGGCAACTCAAATAGTTACAAAGAGAAGGAGACAGGCAGAAAGAAAGAGAAACAAGATTTGTTATGGGAATAATGTTAAGAAATACAAGCTAATAAAAAGAAAGGAAGGTGTTACAGCACAAGTGATCTTGAAGGTTAAGTTGGTTGTGGTCACTGCTTCAGAGCACATTACTTCTGCAGCCTTCAGAAAGTCACCACACCTCCACCAGAACTCTAGGCTGGGGCACATCTCCCAGTAATTTCACACAGTTGAAAAATGTCAAATGATCTCTGTAATATGAAATAATGTGCTTATTTTAACAAATGTCATTGCACTTTAAAAAAATTCACTCTATGACATTGAGATTTAATGAGTAGCAGCAAAGAGATCTTAGTCAGCTTTGTCTAGAAAGACAATCTGAAGAGAATACAAGCCAAGTATAAATGCACTGCAAAAAGTGACAGGACCTAAGAAAGTACAAATAAAAATTGTTTTAAGAATATAAAGTTAAAGCATGAAAGACAGAAATTATTTGTCAGATATCACAAACCTCAGTGTCTCTAGGAAAGAAGCTCCTAGTAAAAAGATATCATGTCTGGTAGCTGGAAAAGGCAACTGTAAAAGCAGTTCAATTAAGTTCAGAAGCATCCACACAACTTTTTCTATGCTTTTCCCCAAATATGTCTGATCTATTTACAAACTGTTCAGGTCAAGGCCACATATTACCATGAGTTTATTAACTGACCAGCAGAAATGAGCCCCATTCTGAGGCTCTTTGGTTCTGCTCGTCTGTAAAGAAAAGGGGCCCTCAAAGACTATCACTGGGCGAGAGATCAGCAGTGGTGAATGAGTATCTAGTGGCCAAATGGACATAAATAAAACAACAGCATAAAAATGTAACTACTTAATTTCCTTGGATTATAAAAAGACTGTGAGAGTCTGAAAGAAGTTCTACGCGAGTAAGAGGTTAAGACTCGTAATTCCTGACGTCTTGCATGTCCATCCTCTTGCATGACAATTCTATGAGGGTCATAGATACATTTGTGTCTACAAAACAAGGAATATTTGACTACTTGTATGAAACGTGCTTTCAAGACTTCACAAATAGAACTAATTAAGCCACTAACAAGCATCACTTTATAGTCTTCAAAACCTCACCACAACAGTTTATCATTTGAATTTTGCTTATCCCTGATGACAACAAAAACCTTTTTACTTGCTTCAAATTCAAGGTGAAACTTATTACAGTACTTAACTATTTTATAAAAATTTACAGTGTATCAAATCAACCTATTAAATACATCAATGACTCAAGTTCATGTCTATGAGTTCTTTGAAACTGTTTTGATTTTACAGAGTAACCCCACCCTGGCAGATACAACCTATGCATATATTCAATATCCATTTAACTGCAGGACAGCTCAGGAGGGCTACAAGGAATCCTGTGCAATTCCTTGACAAATTTGATACTTCAGAATATTAGCAATGTCAAAAAAAAAAAAATTAATGATTAAGAGAATGACAATAGCAGTGCTCTGGACTTACATTTTTCTGCAACAGAAATGCTTTGATACATAACTTTTCTCACCAAAATTCCAGTATGGAACTATACAAGTATAAGACATATACCCACTTACAAGGTACTTACGCATACTTTTATGTGTAATTTTAAATTTTGCACAAGAGACTACAAGAATTTTATACACAGATACTTCCTTGCTTTGATGAGACAAAAAAATTCCTTCAACAGCAGCTGAAAGATTTATTTACTAGTTCTTTTTGATATTTATGTAATTTTTGAAGTATTTTATATCTAGATTAAATGGTTACAGCACTGTAACACAACCATTGTTGCACACCAACTGAATTTAAATGTACCTGCTTCTACAGGAATTGGCTTCTCCAGGAGAAAAATCGTCTGTTTCCAGTGTGTTTTGGTACACTGGGGACCAGTTGAAAACAAGACCTGCAATTGGAGAGTTCAAGAGTTTGATTAAAAACAACCCTTTTCATATCACACCACATCAATCAATTACCAAACACAAATGTATATGAAGTCTTTGCTACAGCAAAACAGATTCAGTGCCAAACACTTTGAGGGCAAAATAAAATCCTCATTTCTCAAAGACATTTTTAAAATGCAAAACCCCAAATACCCACCTTGTTGTGGCAGTTCTCAAAAAATACATCAAAGTAACCAGCAATTGCCTATAAAAAAGAGGTGAAAGTGTAAATACGATAAAGGAATAACAGTGACACTCAAGAAAAATTCTGTGATTCATATATGCATTTATTGGAATTTCTACTCCTTTACGAGTACTTACTAAGAGGAACAAGCTTGTATTTATGCTTTCAAGTATGCTAGAAACCCTAGGGGGGAAAAAAAGAAAGCTGCCATTATACCTTTGCTCTACTTGAGAATATTCAGCCCACTGTAACTTAACTGCATTTTATTACACATCAGATTTTAGTATGAGTTTCCAAAACAACTCACACGCTTTAACACTGCTTTAACTGCAATTAGAATAATACATGAGAAAACAGCCTTTCAGATGTGCAAACCCACAAGCATAAAACTTGTCCCGTTCATGATCCTCAGTAAACACACATCAAGTATGAGGGATTCTGCATGATTTGTTCACTCACTGTGTGACTAAACAGGAATTTCCACAGAAGCTTCACACAATGCAACCAGGCAGGGAATCCTTTTCTTCCTCTACTACACACACAGGTAAGGAAAAACATTCACAAATGCTTCCTGCTGGCCCCTCCATCTCTGTCCCTCCTGCCATCCCACTCCTAATGTCAAGAGTTTCTCTCTTCAGTGCCTAATTCATTAGTGGGACTTTTCTTCAAGTTTGAATAAGAAAAGAAATCAGATTAGTTTGGGTTGGAAGGGGCCTAAAAGATCATTTTGTTCCAACCCCCATGCCATGGGCAGGGACAGTTTCCACCATGCCAGGTTGCCCCAACCCCATTTAACCTCGCCTTAAAAACTTCCAGGGATGGAGCAGCCACAACTTCTCCAGGCAACCCATGCAAGTTCCACACCACCCTGACAGGGAAGAATTTCTTTCTAATACTAATACATATAAAATGTTCACACACAAAACAGCATATTGACACTATAAGTCACTCAGTCTTTTAATGCTAATGGACTGGTTTTTTGACAAAAAATGGCTTGTGAGTCCCAGAAACCCAAATAAACAACTGGAAGATGCTAAGAAAACATCCACTTCAGTTTCACCTGTGAAATCCTGTCCATGCTCATGTTTATTTGCCTCCTCCTGTTCTATGAAAACGCTAAAGCACATCAGACCCTGGTGCCAAGGCAGTTGTGCTTTCTATCACACCAGCCTGAAGAAATCACTCAAATAGAGCTTTTGAGTAACCACAGTGAGCTGAAGTTACTCAGCTGGGGATCGCCATCCCTGCCACGGGAGGAAGGGACTCCCCACATCAGCTGCAATGCATTCAAACGAAGCATGTACCAATGCAATGATGGCAAGTTTGTTCCAGGAAAACAAAACTCATGGCGAACAACCTATTGTAACCTCTTGCTTACCAAGGTTTTTCTCCTAGTCCAGTACCAGAAAACTGGTTGTTCTGAAAAGCTAAAAGGACAATTTCTGTAGCACACCCTTCATATAGATTCACACAAGATAGTGACAGAAAAAGAAGTAAAACATGCTTACAAAATCAGGGTATAGGGTTTTATCATTATGAAATATATAATATGAATAAGACATTCCGGTATTTTTCCTCTCTAGTCTAAATCCAAAATTTCCAGAATACAATGTGTTAAAAACAATAAAACTATGCTAAAGCACCTGCTTTTCAACAAAGGGCACTCCAGACAAGCCTGGCAAGTTCCAAATTTCAACATGGCTAAAGAGTTAAAATACAAAAACTATGGAGACACTGAGAGCCCTTCATGACAAATTAGCATCAGACAGTGGAAACAGTGACTCTTCAAGACCTTTAGTAAAGTCCTATCACTCAATCTGAGAATCTCATTCCCAGGTGAATTAAAGCCTTGTCTCTAATATGCCTTCTGAGTAAAGACTGAGAAGGTTTTGACAAAGTTCTATTGACCCATCAGACTACTTTTATTGATGCACAATCTTTTCTGGACATTAGTCAGAGATCTACCAAGTCATATAAAATATTTTTCAATCATCAGCTCAATACTGCTGGTATACTTATAAATAAGACTTAGGACATGATTACTGCAGGAAAACAAGGTTGTGACAACAAAAATACATCAAGGAGGAAAAAAAAAAAAAATCTAGCTTCCAGAGAAAATGAGACAATCAAGCTACATCTTGGATCAAAAAGCCAAAAGCTCCAGGCAGACAGACCATAGCTAAGGTGGATGCAAGTATTCATACACTTTGTAAAAAGAGGTGACAGAAACATCCTACATGCTACCCTGAGAAAAGGCTCCAGGGATCTATTTTTTGGGGTGAAGTTCAGGTTGAAAAGAAACTCAATTACAAGAGTTAATTAGAAGAAAGTGCTCCCTGCTGCCTCCCCTGTGTTAAGGAAAACAGGATTTGTACCTTTTGTAAATGACTAGATAAATAATTATTTTATTCTTAACAGTATAAGTGGTTTCCCTATCTGAAACAACCTGAAACACTGACTTTGAATAGCTAATCCAGAGTAGTAATAATAATTATTACACATCACAAAGATTGCCTTAGTCAGAGCTCCAGGGATTACAGAGAACAACAGCTCTACATTGATCCATTAATTTCTTCTTGTTGTGTTCTAAGATGGATAGATGTCCTTCAATATTGAACACTGAAATGATCGTTGAGCCAAAAGAAACCAAAAATAGAAAAATATTATTGCTCAAGTGCCTGTGAACAGCTCTGGGCATTCCCCAAAATTCTGTCAGTTAAAACTGGGCAGTAGAGGCACCCCAAAACTGAAACACACACTTTGGTGAGTTGTGTCAAGAGACAACCCCAGCCTTGTTTAGTGGAACAGAAACTGTATTTTTTAAGTTAAATACATTGAAGGGAGAGCTTGAATGACATTTTGAAAACTATATGTTAAACATATTGCAATTGAGAAATCTAACGAGTATGTTTCATTAATAATTTTCAAAATGTTTTTGAGCCAACTAAAAGAACCCACCACACACTCACTTGGTTTAATGATTTTCTTTCTGAAATTAGTTACAACTATGTAATTTGTTTTTACCAACAGTGTTTTTACTCTCTATCTCTCGTATTTTAAACCTTTGGGAAAATAAGAAGCCTAATGCCAAACCCAGTAGTTACTGACCACCTGCAAAATTTGTCTAATATTCCCTATGACAGCTATTCTACAAACCAATTACAGATGAAGAAATACAGAAAGCAAAAAAGCACTGAATAAATATACCCACTTTGATGCACATAGCCTGTGGCCTTCCCTTTTAAAATAAGAAACTGAAAACGTTTAAACCTGCTGCTCAACACAAACAGTTATTTGCATATATCCAGGGAATAATATGTATCTCAGTTCTATCATAAAGCTCCAGCCTACATTAACTACATTCTTTTCCTCTCCCTGATTTCACATGGAAGATTTCATGTGATAGACTGCATGTGTTGCCCTGCCAGAAACATCACTTTGAAACTCAATTTATCCAAATTAGACATTATTTTCATGAAGTAAGTTCAGTTTTATTTCTGAGCAGACACCCTATAGGAGGTATTAAATTCACCAGCTGTTCTCAAGAAAAGGATTGTTATGTATGGTCCTCCATAGTTCGTGTACATTCATACGTGCTCATTCAAACACAATGCTATGCTTAAAATTTTAATTATATTGTCAGTGTTCTGAGATCTTCCTGATTTTTGAGCTGTTTTGTCATATTTTGTCTGCCCCAGGCCAAAGGGATCTCAAGCCAGCTACACAGACACTTAAAAACTCCTTAAAAACAGCACACCCAGTCCTAAAACCTGCCAGGTGATTCTGTAGGATGACACAAGAAAGACTCTGAGGTACTGGAAAGGCTTCAGAAGAGGCTTCACATAAAAGGAATGGAGCTGGGGCAGGGTCTGGAGCACAAATCTGATGGGGAGGAACTGAGAGGGCTGCAGGTGTTTAGTCTGGAAAAAAGGAGTCTCAGAGAGGACTTTCTCACTCTCTACAGCTCCCTGAAAAAAGGGCTTGAGAAAATGGCCTCAAGTGGCACCAAGGGGGTTTAGATTGCATCTTAAGAAAAATCTCTTCACCAAAAGGGCTGTCAGGTATTGGAACAGACTGTCCAGGGAAGTGGTGGAATCACCATCCCTGGAGCTATTTAAGTCATGTGAAGTGGCACCTGGGGACATGGTTTAGTGCTGGACTTAGAACTGCTGGATTAGAGGTTGGACTCAATGATCCTAGAGGTCTTTTCCAATCTAAAGAATTTTACGTATACCTCTGGAAAAGTACTGAAGGATACAAAGGCACAACACAGTTCTAATTATTCATCCTCTCAGTGTTTTGCAAAAAGCTTGATACAAACAATTAGAATTTCTGCTTTTAAATGAAGCAGAGGGAGTAACAGGGTATTCTGGGTTGCAAGGGACACACAAGGATCATTGAGTTCATGGCCCATACGGGACTGATCCTTCAACCTTGGCATTTGTAGCACCATGTTCTGACCAACTGAGCCAATGGTTCAGTCTTCCTTGAAAGAGCTCTGCAAAATTAAAATCTGACAGCATCACATAGGTCTGTTTCAACACACTCCAAAAACCCCTAAACCAAAACAACCACCACCACCACTCTCAAGCCATATTAGTGTAAGCACTGCACCACTTCAGAAACGATCTGGTAGCCCACACCCCGATGTATTGTATGGAAAAGGCAAAAAAAAAGGTAGAAGTACACACAGATGATGCTTTCTTCAATTTTATCTACAATCACTAGTGCTGTGTATTTAAAAACAAGATCTCACAAATCTAAACACTGACACAAATCAAAGTTTAAATACTTGATAATAAAAAACTAGCTGTACTATTGTGAGTTTGTTTACTAACTTCTTTTAAGGAATTTACATTTTCCCTTTTTTTCTTTTTTTTTCTTTTCTTTTGGTGTTTCATGTTGAAATGCACAATTATGTATCTTATGTTTAACTGCATTTCAGAGAAATACTTCTGTAAAAGTGAAGTTCAAAGTATTTTACTTTCATTTCACTTTTGAACACTATCCCAAATGGCAGT